TAATTCACCATTGGTCTTCAAAGCTTCTAAGTTTCGCCGGCAGAATTCAATTGGTGAAAAGTATAACAACTGCAATGGTTCAATACTGGTTGCACTGTCTTCCTATGCCCAAAATAGTGATCAAGAAGATTGACTCCATTTGTCGCAGTTTCATCTGGACCGGCAAAGATATAGTGAGCAGAAAGTGTCCTGTGGCTTGGAAACGCATGAGTTGTCCTACTGCTCAAGGTGGGTTGAACCTGATAAATTTGCAGATTTGGAATAATGTCCTGCTCTAAAATGCTTATGGAATCTGTGCAAAAAATCTGATACCTTGTGGGTGAAATGGATCCATATTCATTACTTTAAAGACAAGCAGATCATGAATTATGAAATCAAAACTCAAAGCTCTTGGATCATGCGCAACATTTTGAAACAAAGGGATACCATGGATCTAATTAGGAACAAATGGGATCAACTTCTGATTTCACACAGGTTTAAGGCGTCGATTTTCTACAAGGTTCTGATCGATGACGACACAAGAGTGCCTTGGAAAAACTTAATTAGATCCAATAAAGCGAGCAGTTTTTTGTCTATGGCAAGCTTGCCATGGAAAGCTTGCAACCAAGGATAGATTAAAGCGTTTTGACATGATTCAAGATAGCCAGTGCAATTTATGTCATACCGAGGAAGAGACGATGAACCATCTATTTTTCTGCTGTCAAGGAACAAGACACATTTGGAAGAAAGTGCTCCATTGGTTTAACATAATTCATACTCCTCAACCTTGGGATGCCAAGTTGATTTGGATAACTAACATGACTAAAGGTAAAGGCTAGAAATTGGATGTTTTCAAAATGCTAGTGGCTGAAACCACCCACTGCATTTGGGGATATCGTAATAGTACTACTTTTGATAAATCTGTAGATATTACAACCGTGGCTACTAACATTATAGATAACGTAACCTATAGAGGGTGTCAAAACCTTAAAATTAGTAAGTATCTTGTTAGTTATATGATGTAAATTGGTTTTTTTTGTTGGGTTGGATCCTACGGGATCACCACTTTTATACTTTCTTTCGAATTAATATATTCTTCATTTAATTAAAAAAAAATATCTAAAGTGTAAATGAACATTTCACTCGTTGATTTTTGTTTAAAGTTAATATTGTGGTTTTGAATTGTTCCCTCGGATCTCTCCCTCTCCCTTTAGATGTTTAATTTCCTATATTAAATGTAATTTAAGGCTATATTAAGTTATATTAATTCTCAAAATTCTCTTTTGAATAGACTTTTTAAGAAACTTATGAGAATAAAATAACCGTTAATGTACACATATCATAAACATAGTAAATAGCTATTTAAAAGATATAATAAAAAAAATATAATTAATATTACATTGAATATATATATTTTTGTCCATGTCTTACATTTAATATTGAAATGATCTATTCTGTATTTTTTTTTAAATTATTTTTTAATTTGGCATAATTTTGGTTTGTCGTGAATATATGTTTGACAATCAAAATAAGACTTAGAATATGATAAATATTTCAATTGTTTAGAAGAAAATATATTACGAAAGATTAATTTTAAAATTTATCTTATTTTATCTTTTTAGTTGATACTCTTATTTATTTTAAATATGAGTTGAATTAAAAAATACGAAGAGAAAATAAAATACTGAAGTATCTCTAAAAACTACAAGTTAGAAAAATATAGTAAAAAAAAAAAAAGAATTTAATATCAAAAGTATCATCCCCTCTTCATGTTTCTATTAAAAATTTTATTTGACATTTGTTACTAATATTAAATAAATAATAGTATATTGAATGTATTTTAATTTAAATAAAAATTAAATATATTTGATTAAATAAATTTTGATTTTGTTGTATTAAGTTTGGAACAATTTAATTTTTATACGACTATGGTTAAATCATATTTTATTTATAAGTTAATTTAATATAGTTTTTTATATTTTAATATAAGTTTGTAGTATTAATAACAGATTAGCCATATAATTTTTGAATCTCATAATAACATTTGTAAAATTTACATTAATAACATTTAATTTTTGCTAGAATCACAGTTAAATAATAATATTGTCATTTTAATATTTGAATGATTAAGAATTGATTATATTTTTTCTTTAAATATTTATCATATCATTATAAAAGAATAATATTGTCTCTACTAGCAAAATTTTCTAAATCCATCTCTACTCACACTTCAAGCGAGTTGTCTAGTACGTGGGTGACATATTTGAAAAACTATATCTGATAAATAGATAATTGATCCGATAAATAAAAGATCTAAAAAAATATTGTAGGCGAGGTGTTACATCATTTGCGGCGTTATTCCTATTAAACCTTTCATAAATATATCCATACAACACCAAACCAAAATTTTAAAAAATCATGCCAAAAGAAACATGTGATAGGCCACATGTGACACTCATGATTAAGGGTTTAATGTATGTAAAACTCATACCATATAATGTATGGTCTCGTCTATTCCTCTCTACAAAATTTTAATATCTCCCAATATTTTTTGCATTTAAAATTGACAGTGTATTTATTTTTAAATAACATAGACAAATAAGTATAAAAACATTTAAAGAATTTTAAAAATAAAAATTTAAAATTACTCGTTATTAATTTTAAAAAAAGTAAAAGTAAATTCTTTATTTTTTTTGATTAAAAATAAGATAATATTCACTCATTCAAATTGATATAATACATTCATAAAAACAATATGAATTATGCTTTAAAAAAAATGAAATTACATCAAACTCAACGTGTACCATGTCAATCTCAAGTCGCCAATGTATTCTATGATACACAGCAGCAAATTTTTATACATTAACAGGACTAATTTTACACATGCTTTCAATAAAAGTTTCACATGGTATCACTTTCTTAAATTTGTTAGATACCTAAAAATATATCATATTATTTGATTAGACATGCACATAAAAAAAGTTCATGTATTTTTACATATTTATTCAATCAACTTTTAAAATATAAATATTTGAAGAAATAAAAGATATATTATGAATATACCGCATTGTGTCAAATTACATAAATATTAAAAAATTATTTAAATGAAAAGACAAATCAATGAATTTTTATTAATTGATAACGTAAAATTATTTCATAATATTTGGTATATATTCATTAAGTTCAAAATATTAATTTTATTTATACAATATGATTTAATTTGACAAAATTGTAAAAAAAAATAAACTATATTCTGTAAAAATTAAAATAATATCATAAAATGATTTAATTATATAAATGTGATATCACCGTCCTTTTATATAACATTTCACACGTGTTACTATATTTGTTACAAACGCGGTTAGCTTTTAGACGAGAGATTCAATAAAATGTCTAACCCTCAACCTTTTTAGAACGCTTACATGAATATTTTTTAGTCGGGGTGGATGCTTTTAGTAACTGTCTCATTAAAGCGAACAAGATATTTTCGCAACGATTCAGAAGGACGTTGGCGAATGTTGAAGAGGATGATGACGAACATCTTTTTATGTCTACTTGCAACAAACTAATTGACTCGTTTCTTCACCAGGCCCTAGTAGTTGATTAACGAGAATTGTGTAAGATCCTTGTACCACCTTAATGTTGTAGAGGGTGACAAATAGAAGTTTACATTTTAAAGAATCAAAGGCTCCAATAATAGCCACCTGCATGTTGGGATGGTGAGAAATCTCCTTCTCAAAAATATGAGAAACAAACCACTACTTCTCCTATTATTCAGGAGAAAATGACTTCCCTTGTTAACTTCCTTTTTCCTATCATTATGGGTTGGGAACATCCCTATAAACATGCGAGTATTCACAATAACGGATGGACGTTCAAATTAATGAACAACTAAGAATCTAAAAAGACATTATAATGCATCACCTATCCTCACAGAACCACTTACACCACCAGACCACTAGTAAACTTTTTACAAATATATTAGTAGAATATTACTTTTTCACTTTCTTAAATTAATTAAATATTTAGGAAAATATATATTTAATATTATTTAATTAAACACACTAGTAAAACATATATTATTTATTTATTAAATCAAAATTTATAAAATAAATATTTGAGAAAATAAAAGATCCGCAGTTAATGAAGGATATGTATTATAACCAAAACATTTTAAAATTATTTAAATAATAAAATAAATCAATAAATCTTTATTAAATAATAATTTAAAATAATATTTATTAAATTTTAAATATTTTAAAAAAAATTTAATTGATATACACTAATTTTATGATGTAGTAGAATATATAGTGATTAATTGATAGTGTAAAATTATTGCATATTTCATTTCTCTTTATAAAAATATTTATTTAATATAATTTAATTTGACAAAATTGTAAACAAAATATTATAAAATGATTTAACTATATAAATGTCTGGACCAATGTAACATTATACAATTGCTATTATTATTATTTAAAGAAAATATAATCAATTATTAGGAGCTGTTGTTCCTGCACACACCCGTGGTTCCAACCTTTTCGTTCTCGAATCTCCCAAATCTTCTTCTTCTTCTCTTTTCAATCCCCACCCTCATTTTACGCTCGATCTCGTTCCCTTTCATCTAATTAAGATTCCATTTTCGAATTCGAGGTTTTCTCTGCGCATCTTCCAATTCATATTCCATTCAATCAATTCTCAATTTCTCATTCAGGTTTGCGAATTTTGATTTACGGTTCGTTCTTGTTTACAGAATCTAGGTTTTGCAAGTGATGGTGGTTGTGATTCTGGTCGGGAAAGGTTATCGGAGAAAGATCAATGAATTCTGATTCGGTTTTGAGAAAATAATGTTGTATTTGAAGCAACCTAGAGTTCAACGTATGGGTTTGTATTTCTGGATTGTGAGGGTTTTGCATTGTGATGAGTCTGAATTTTGGTGATTTGGTGTTCTTTGCATGCCGTTTTGGTAATTTCCCTTGAGCCAGAGGCTCGGGGATCTGAAAATTAGGGAGAAAATAGTTATGGCTTCGTTGGGAAATTATGAACGTTATCACTCTGACGAAACACATCCTCCTTCTAATCTCTGTATGCAGAAATTTAGGCTTTATGAGACTCGATCGGTAATACCCTTATCTTCCTTTTTTATTTGTTTTTGAATTTTGTTATAGGAATTATAGGAAGATCTCTCTGATTTTTAATGTATTAGCTTGTTTTGTATTGTAGATAAATATGCGTGAATGAATTAATCTCTTCTGTTGGTCCAAATTGTTGTTAATTCTCTTGTTTGTGGCTCTTATTCATATATGTGTCACTTATCAATTATCATATCTAGTCGGGTCTTATTTTTAGATTTCAATGTTGTGTTTTTTAGTAGAAACATGGTAGACTGCATTCAATGATTTGAACTTGCTTATATTCATTGCTTTATAGTATTTCGTAGTTGATCCATGTCAGAGATACGGCGTAGTTTTACCTTGGCTATTTGACTGCCTAACACAACCCTCTTTGTTTATCCGGGCTGGGACCAGCTATGCAAAGCTAACTTACGCAGGATTTGTTTTATAGTATAAGGATTTAGTTGACAAAGTAGAAAGAATTACATAGCTTTGTTGCTTCATGTTTTGTTTAACTTCTAATTGTACTCCATTCATACTTTAATCTTCTTATGCATCTACCTCTATGAAATTCATCACAATGATGTTTATATGTCCTTGAATTAGAGCAACTGTTGGATGCTTCACGGTTCCTTTTATACCTTATCTTCAATGGTTCCTCTTTAGCTTCTCTTCGTGTTTGGATACTTGGTTGTAAATTTTTACATTAATAACTTCAATTAGATTACACAGGTCCCTGACTGTGTATTCTAATATGTATATTAAACATGGCCATTTGAAAAATTTAGTTTAAAGCTTTGGATGCCTTGTTGGAGTTGCAGAAATAATCTTACATTTATTTTATTTGAAATATATTTCCCTTGTGCTTTATTCATTTTTGTGCCACAGAACTTTTACATGATTGGAAGGGACAAGAGTAGGGCATACTGGAGGGTACTAAAGATTGACCGTCTAGATCCTTCTGAGCTAAATGTGCGTGAAGATTCCACCACATATTCAGAAAGGGAATGTTCTGATCTTTTGAGGCGGATACATGAGGGGAACAAGTCCACTGGTGGACTTAAATTTGTTACAACTTGTTATGGAATTGTTGGTATGTCTGTCCGTAGTGTCTTGTTCAGTTGCATGTTGATAAATTATCTGTCATTATCTGAAAATGTTTGATATGTTATGTTGATCTGCTTTTAGGATTCATCAAACTTTTGGGGCCATACTACATGCTACTTATCACAAAAAGAAGGCAAATTGGTTCAATCTGTGGTCATACTGTATATGCTATCTCAAAGACTGAGATGATTCCGTTGCCGAATTCTTCTGTTCGGTCTAACATCACCGATTCTAAAAATGAAAACAGGTCCTTACATTCTCACATGCTATATATATGATTGTGTTTTTCTTGAGAACTCAAATGTTAGCTAACCCAAGGGATGCTCAGCTTCTATTTGCTGTAACTAAATAATACATTTATTTTATTTTTGAATGCTGTCATATTTCCACGGCCTCTTTTAGCTATTTTGAAACTAAACTAAAAAATCATCCAGTTTTGTTCTTATGGAGTTGGATTTCTACCGTTCTTTTGGTTTCTCACCCTCTATCCAATGTTTGAGAATTGTTCTCATTCTCGTCCATTCATAAACTTTTAAAGTAAAATAAAATCTTATGTTAAACTTACATGATACATCCTCTTTTTGAAAAGCCAAATATAAATGTTGTGTACCAAAGAAATGCTCAGATTTGTTGAAGTTAACTTGATTTTGACTAGGTTTTGTTTATGCAGATCTATGTGGTTTCTATCTTAATGCCTTTTTCGAATTTAAACACTTCATTTTGACATGTGTCAAATTTTATTGCTCTATACATTATTTGAAATTTTGATCAAATATATTTCTTTTTTCATGGATTTTTAGGTACAAGAAGCTTCTATGCACAGTTGACCTTACAAAGGACTTCTTTTTCAGCTACTCATACCATATTATGCGTAGTCTTCAAAGGAACATGTGTGGCGCTGAGACAGGCCATGTCCTTTATGAGACAATGTTTGTCTGGAATGAATTCTTGACTCGAGGAATTAGGAATCATCTCCAGAATACTTTTTGGACAGTTGCACTAGTTTATGGCTTCTTTAAACAGGTGATGATAAATAACTCTTGAAACTCCTTTGGATATTGTATTACTCCCTGTCTCATTAAAAATGTTCTATATGAACAATGTACTGTTGTTAAGAAAATGATTAGACGTGTTGATTTTACTATACCCTTATTAATTGTAGTTAGTGGAGTTGTCGAATTGATTGATAGTTAATAAATAAGGGTTGAAAAAAATGAAAAAAATAATAAATGTTGCATTAGTGTTGTAAAGAGACAATTATTTTGAGACAGAGAAAAAATGCGAATGAGACACTTTTTACGAGACATAGAGAGTATTGATTGATTAATTCTGTTAAGCGTATGGTTTACGTGCACTTGACTTTTATTTCCTGCTCAACTCAAGTAGTTATGATATCCTACAACCGAGTCTCTGATGTTTATTGGTGGCTTCGTTAGGACACACTTGAGATATCTGGACGGGAGTTCATACTTACGCTCATTGCGAGAAGATCTCGCCATTATGCTGGGACTAGGTTTGTCAATTTCATCGTATTATCTTTCTAAAGAATTATGTGTCAATTTTTTTCTGATGCATGCTTCAGCTGGTTACACATCTGATTCTATAAATCAACTATGTGCAAACTTTGCTAGCCAGCTAGCCTAATTGAGGGAAGAGAAGCGCAGTGCAGGCAGTACAATCTTGAAATATTGAAGGATCAATATGCTTGTAAATATTTGAAATCAGAAAAGATAGATACATATGTGCGAATATTATATGTGCAATGAATGGCTTTATTTATTTTATTACTATACATAGGTATTTGAGGCGAGGTGTTAATGACAAGGGCAGAGTAGCAAATGATGTTGAGACAGAACAAATAGTCTTTGAGGATGTTCCAGACGGTCTTCCCATCCAAATTAGCTCTATCATCCAGAATCGTGGCTCGATCCCTCTTTTCTGGTCACAGGAAACTTCACGATTAAATATTAAACCAGATATTATACGTATGTCTCCCCATTTTATGGATACTCTTATATTAGAAATTAGCGAAGTTTTTTTTCTCCCATCTTCTCTACTTTGACGTGTTTCTGTCCATTTGTTTGCTTATGTAATTATCTGTTCTTTCCCAGTGTCAAAGAAGGACCAGAACTATCAAGCCACTAGACTTCACTTTGAAAATCTTGTCAAAAGATACGGAAATCCCATTATAATTTTGAATTTAATTAAGGTAAACTCATTTTTCTTTCATTTTCTCCTATTGTTTGAGCCTCTTCACTCATTTTCTACCCCCCACCCCCGTATCCAAACTGTATGCTTTTAAATTCTAACAGTTCCGTTGTTTACAAGACTTATGTGTTAATTATTTTCTGTTTTACTGACAGACCCATGAGAAGAAGCCTCGAGAGGCCATCCTTCGTCAAGAGTTTGCTAATGCTATAGATTTCATCAATAAAGATTTGTCTGAGGAAGACAGGCTTAGGTTCCTTCACTGGGATCTGCACAAACATTTTCAGAGGTCCGTTTTCTTAATTATATAATCCTATCCTTTTTATCTAATTAAATTGCGTGTTCTGAGTATAACCTGATACAAAAGTATGCCTTTTATTTTATTTCCAGCAAAGCTACAAATGTGTTGCTGCTTCTAAGCAAAGTGGCAGCATATGCATTGGCATTAACGGGTTTTTTCTATTGCCAAGCGTCATCAACCTTGAGACCTGAAGACTGTCTAAAATGGCCACCTATAGAGTAAGTTTTCATTTTCCTTCAACCACAGGTGTTAGATCCACTCTGTATTATTGGATTTGTATAATGTCTTTAGGAATAAAAACAATGGTGTACAATTTTCCAATCAATAATCATAAAAATATTTACATAGGAAGCAGTTAATCCTTGGTGGACAAGGAAATGTTCGAAGTTCTTCCATTGACATTTCTTGATCACTGATATTAAGTTTTGCATGCAGTAATGCTGGCAAAAGAAGTTTTTCATCTACCAGAAGAGCTGATGATGATGATGAGGATGCTAATGATTTAGAGAGGAGACCAAGTGACGAGATCAATGTTTCCAATGAAAATGGCTCTGCTAAATCACCCAGGTTGCAGAGGGGGGTGCTCAGAACCAACTGCATAGACTGCCTAGATCGCACAAATGTTGCACAATATGCGTATGGGCTGGCTGCTATTGGCCACCAGCTTCACTCTCTGGGAATTGTTGAGCAACCAAAAATTGATCTTGATAACCCGGTAGCCAATGATTTGATGCAGTTTTATGAGCGGATGGGTGACACACTTGCACATCAGTACGGTGGTTCTGCTGCACACAACAAGGTGATTTGTAGTTATGTGGCCTAATTCAATTACTTCACTTTGCATATTTTAGCGTTGCTTGGGAATTAATCTGTTTGCTACACCATTCTTTCTCTTAATTACCTATTTTTAGAATTTGGGCTTAGGGCTGACGTATCCCTACAAAATCCATTTTTACAACAAAGATTGCTCAAACCTTACAACTTACAAGCAAAAGCAATACAACAACTATATCTCTATGGAATGTTAGGCTACCCACTCCCTCAACCTAGCACACGGGAGCTGATGTACAGCTGCAATTAAGGCAGACAAATTGGCCCAATAATAGGCTGTAGGGATGGCCGCAATTAAGACGAACTTTTCAACGCGTACCCTCACTCCCAGGCTAATTGTTAATTGGGCTATGAGTGTGGACATGAGGATAGCCTAACAATTGGATTAAGATATTCACTGATACCATCGTAGAATTTGGACTTAACCCAGCTTATTTTCACAAAATTGGTTTGTGAGATAATAAGAACTTTCTAGGCTTTTTAAGAATTACAAAGGCCAGATCTCTAGGCAATACGGAACTTAACCACCCCCCTAAAATCAGCTCATAGGTAATATAGGATGGAATGAAGTGGAATGGTATGGATGATATAATATCTATTTTTATAAAACTAACTAGCTCATTCCACTCTATTCCATCCTATAGTATACTGCCATTCAAAAGACACCGTTGCAATTAAAGTTAGACTAAGTGGCCCAATAAAATATCACAGGAGTGGCCACGTTTAAGGGGATTTTCCAACATACCTGAAGCCAGTTATAAATAATTTTGTACATATTGTCATTAGTTTTGAACTTTGTAATAATAAGATAGTCATCAATCTAACAAAACCATGTTTTTGGACAAAGAAAGTAGTCTTCATTAACCACCCACTCAAATTATTTACGGATTAATCAGAGTTCAGACATTCTAGTCATGTTGTCTGAGCTGGATGGGACACAACGGCCTTGTTAGGTTTCTTGTTAGTACTGTGAGAGTGAGCTTATATCCCGTATTAGTTCCATGCATCATTTATATAGAGCATTGAGAAATATGGCTTTTTACTACTGTGAGTCATCCCATGTCATGTCTCATTATGACTGGCAGTCTTTATAGTCTTCTTTATTTCTTGCCTGTTATACTTCACTTTACTGTATATTGGTATAATGTGTTCTCTGCCCTTTTTTTATTGCCTTTTTCTATAACTTCTGTTTCTATGAAGATATTCTCCGCGAGGAGAGGCCAATGGAGAGCTGCAACGCAGTCTCAGGAGTTTTTTAGAACTCTTCAACGTTATTACAGCAATGCTTGGATGGATGCCGAGAAACAAGATGCAATCAATGTGTATGTGTTTCACTCTTGCATTTTTTTCTTCTGTTTGTGTCTCCAGGTTATATTATTTCTATTGGTTTAATTTATGTAGTATGTCTTTATCTTGGATAATTTTTGTTTTGGTCAACACTAGTTTTTTTTTTTAAAAAAGGAAAAGAAGAATAACAAAGTAGAACTGGGAATTTTCCTCAAACACTGAAAAACTAAACTAAAAAGCGACAAGGCAACAGAGTTTATAACCCCTTTGCATGCCTTGCGGTCCTCTAGCATTGTTTCTGACTCACATTTTTGACTGCTTTTAATTGTACGATATACGTGTTGGTTGTAATGATGCCTTTATGGTTTTAACTGGTTACTAATCATGAGATCACATTTCTGTTTCATTTGGGGCAGTTTCCTGGGGCATTTTCAGCCACAGCAGGGTAAGCCTGCTCTGTGGGAGTTGGGTTCAGATCAGCACTATGACACGGGGAGACTTGGTGATGATGATGCAAGGTATTCAAATATAATTTATTGGGAATAGAATTGCTAGTTTTTTGTTTCCTTACCTTCAACGGTTTGGTGCTTGATTAAAGATTTTGCATTGGGTTTTTTTTCTTGAATTTTTGGGGTGTATCTTCCCCTTCCATGCTTTCTATATTATGATATGTGAAACAGACACTAACAAGAAAATCTAAAAAAAAATTGGTCTAGTTTGAAAAGCCTAGGATTAATTGCTGCGTTCAAGTGATATTGGCAAAGAAGCACAAAAGATATTGTAAAGTCTGAGCAATATGCTTATAATAACCTTCAAAACACGGCATAGAAATTTAAAAAAAAATTAAAAAATGTCTAGGTATTGATACAGAAATGTCTGAAAACACTAAGTGTATGGTAATTCAGCTATCATATGCCTGGCATAGGCTAGACGTTTTAGAAAATGTGTAATAAGTGTTAAATATTGAAAGATTCCCTTTGATCCTTAAGTATTTATATTGAGCAGCACATTTTTGGTTTTTGTTAATGAGCAGCACAAAGCTTATTTGTCAGATCAGGTGATACATAATGGAGCTAACTTCTTTTTCTTGGAAGGGGTGTAAAGAGATTATCAAGAGCGCTGTTATCAAATACCGGTCATGGCAGCGCTATGGTGGATATACATGGCGGTTTTTGGACTCGCCGCAATGGTAAATATAGGCCGAAATTGCGGTTTTTCTTCCATAATCCACTATAATGGTACTACTAAGTGGCCGGTATGGTGGGATTTTGGCTCTCCGCCATGGACCGCCATCCTCCATCAACAACACTGATCAAGAGAGAAAATGCAACTTGGGTCATAGGATACGAAATCCTTCTGACAACGAGAACAAACATGGAGTAAAAACTGCAGAAATGATGTCCAATCATTTTTGCATATTAGGGATAGGAAAATAAAATTAGCTGCCATGAGCAGATCACCGAAGAGAGGCTTTAAACAATCTCCAATTCAATAACAGATATAAGGGCAAAGAGATTCTTCAGTTTCCAGGCTTTCTTTTCGCCAACCAAGTAGGCCAGAAGACCGTATAGACCATTCAATCTATAGTAACTTAAACTCCTTTTTCTTGTCAGAATTTTCAAACCGTATGATGAGAAACTGTTTCGAGATGGCAACTCAAACCCAATTCAAAAATCAAATGATTAGATAGCAACTGTCACAATTCAAAAATCACTATTCTCCAAATTAAACTCTTCACAACAAATAAATGATAAAAAATTATGGTTTTAAATCCAATGAAGAGAGTATTGACTGCACATATAGCTGGCACAAAAGAGACAAAGCAAAAGAGTACTGGAAAGAATGAAAAGTTTGACCGTCCAATGAAAACCATTGTTGACATGGGAGATTAATGAAATCCTGTTTAGTGTTTTATGCTTCCGTCAACTTGCATGCACTTTGCGTTTTGTGTCTTAGGGATGTGTTTGTTGATATTACACGATCATTTTCCGCTAAGGCAGCTAACACGGTAACTTCAAATTTTGGTTTTTAGGTCATTTTTCAAAAGATCATTCTCAGATGGAAACTTTCTCCGTGATAGCTCTACACCTATGTCAGCTCCAAATGCTAAGAATGAAAAATCCTCAAATCCAGGTTTACCAGACCGATCAGGAGAAGGGAGCAAGGCTTTTTGTGAGTCATCACCTGAAATATCTACTGCCGAGCCTGAGTGTGACATTTCATTTTCAAGGTTTGTGCTCTCTATTACCGTGAACTCTAATGTCTGATCTGTGTCCGTGTATATAGGACACTGATTGCCCATGTCTCATTTTATTCCATATCTCTAGTTTTTAATGTTGTTACTGGTTGCCGTAACCTGAAGAAATTGGCATGTCTTCTCATAGCAGTCCTTGTCTGAAATTTTAGAAATTTTGTTTTACTAAAATGATAAAATTGTTGAACAATATTATCTCGAAGATGAGACAGATTATTCCATTTTACGCGTTCCTCCCTTTTCTTTATCCACTGGCCGTGTTGTATGTTGAAATCATTGCAAAGTTTAATTTGAAAAAAAATCTAACACAGGGATCATACTTTGCTGGTATGAATTTTGGAAAGTTAGGTGTCTCTGTTTGCATCATGATAACAACTTCTGCCGTTTTGTATGTGTAGATACACTCCCTCAATGCCCAGGAGACAGCTTTTTGTGGACATGCAGAAAGAGCGATGTGCTGAGACTCGTCATATTTACTATTCTGAACATGTGGATTCCTTCACCTGCTCCAACTTTGTGGACCTGGATTGGCTATCTTCTTCAGGAAATTCATGTGAAGAAGAGCCATACGAGAGGTAATATTTCCTGATGAAGCAATTGCACAAGTGCTTAGCAAGAATGTTTGTTGCAAATAATATATTTTTGCGAGAGATTCATCAGCAAGGCGATATATAAGAAGAATGAAGAGATGAGGAGTATGATTTAGAATTATGAATTTTCTGGGTGTGAATTGTCTTAGGTGTATGATTTACTTGTGTTACTTCTTTGAGTGTCCACCAAAATTTTCTGTATTTCTTTTTTCTTTTAGGCTTTATATTTTTTTTCCTTTGCAAAAGGTAAAATATATATGTTATTTTTTATCCTCAATCGAAGATTTTTTATTTTCTGAGGCTTATAGTTTGTACTGGATACAGGTCATCTATTACCAGCTCCCCGGTTGCTGGAGTATCTTCAGAAAATGTTGTCAATGGAGTGGTAGTTGGAGAAACAGCTGCCTCCACTAGTGATTGGGCCAGCTCCAGCGTAAAGGTACCTCGAGTTATGGTATAGTAAAACATCACATTCACAGCTTTCTCATTTAGATAAATTCACTGGCCTATGAATATGATGGAGAAGATTGGATCCTCTGATAATTCATACTGGCTTTACATTCACTTGATACAGTATATATAATGTTTAGCAATATTTTGAAAAATAATTTTTTGGCAGAAAACTAAAAATTAATAATAGTCTAGACATTCTTGGACTATTATCGGTAGGTTACTGTCTATCTGCACATCCACTAGATATATGGTTCAAGTGGTGCTTGTAAGACTTACACAGTTTTCACATCTACAATATGAATCTGAATTTGATAACCATGTTACACAGTACACCCAAATTTTAGCATCATATACTAAGAAAGTCTATTCTATATTTGTTATACTTTGTCTGATTGACATACTAATTCTATCCAACAATCTCAGGAGAGTGAAGCAAGTGAGTCAGAGGCATCCTACCGTGATGCACAGAACAACAATCCAGATGAATTTCCTGATACTTTTGTTGAATGGGTGACTTATGGACAGACACTTTGCCATTGAACTTTTGCACGTGACCCTTTGCACTGATATACTATATAATTGACATTTATTTAAATTGACTCGGCCTTGGCTTGGTCTAAAGATGCTGATTAGAAGATTAGAGAGAGCTAATGATAAGTAATCGCGGAAAGATGAGAAAACAGGAATTTGGGTCGACTTCTCCATACGATCATAACCTAATAAGAATCCTGCGACCATTGTCAGTATTTATTCAGTTGTGAAAATTTCAATCAAATCCTGAAAGGCATAGTGCAAAATAGTACATAGTAAAAATGGTTGTAAAATTCTAGTTGCCTGTTGCTGTTGTTTCCATGGAGTTTACTGTTTTTATTCTTCTTTGGCCAGTTAAGATTATACAGTAGGTGCACTTTTTGTAAATATTGTTGCTTAATTATGGAGCTATACTTTTAGAGTTGTAGATATATTGATTCTTTAATATGGACTTATTGTGATACTCGAATTATGATTCGTGCACTTACTCGAATCAAAGAACGCTTGAATGAAACATTACAGTCACAGCTTAATTGGGTGCATGGATCTCCTGCTGTCAAAATCTGTGGAGACCGTTAGATTTTGAGATTCTATCGTTGTTGTACCTTGCAGTTGTTAGTGGATCTAAGTTTTTGTAGAATCTTAGTATTATATAATAGCACTATAGCAATAAATTTTATATGGCATAATATTTTATGCCTAATAAAATTCATTAGGCATAATATTAAATAATGGCAGTAAATTCTATATAAAAAAATTTCATTTCTATAAAACCTTAAGTTGAAAATTATGCAAAAGATAATAAACAATAAACTTGGTCTTAATATTATATAAATTTGTTGGTCAAGTACTGCTCTATTAGAAATTAGGACAGAATTGTGATTTTTTAATTATGTATTAATATTTTTTTCATATGTAATAATAAAGAAGGGCATTTAAATTTTTGGTCATTTAATTTAATTTAAAATTTTACTTTATTTTCTTATATAATAAATGTTATTTTAAATTTATCAAAAACTATTTCATAAATATCATTTTTTTTAAATTTTGATTAAAAAACATAATCTAACATTTATATTTTTGAGAAAATGAGAGTTGTATTGATTGTGTAAATTCAATGCCGTCGTCACATTATGTAGGAATTTTTTGGATAATGAAAATTGGAGGGGAAATTCGGAAGAATGTAGGAGATGTATTTTTGTTCTCTCTATTTTGAAGTTTTTAAAAATTTAGTCCCTTCCGTTTTAAAAATTAGTTTTTTAGTCCCTAAAATTTACCTTACTTGAGATTTTTATGGTCCCGGACCTTATTTTTTGATTACATGACAGTGTCATTAATGATGTGGTTAATGATGTGGTAACGGGATTTTGAATCCATGTCACTTTGTTTATTATTTAATTAATCTAAGTTTATAATTCATTTTTCAAATAATTTTAAAAATTATGTAAATCATTTTAAATTAATTTTAAACATTATAAAATCTTAACGTTTCATTAATCAGAAGTATTAAATTTCACTTGAATCCTAAATTGATTTTGCTTCATCTCTTTCTATTGTCTTGCTGAAGAAAGAACAGAAGAACACTAGATCCACTCAAATTAATTCCATTCACGAAATTCTTTTTTGGGTTCGTGAAGATGACTAGTGGACAAGTCAGGTTCTGTTTAAGGTATGTTTTCTTGTTCCCTTTGAAGTGTTAGCATGTGTCATGTTATGTTTTTCATTTTTTTCCGTGTGTTCCACCATATATGTTTAGTGTTTTGTTGTGGTCCCATGTTTGTAAATGATTTACGTGGTCCACCATGTATGTTTGTTATTTTGCTTTACTGTAGTTCCACTGAATGTTAAATTATTCGGATGTTATTCCAAATGTATGTAATAAATTTTTAAACTAAGTCTGAGCAATAAGGTTAGGTCAAGAATACACCGTAGGGGAAAACTAGTTTTGAACCTATTAAGTGGTATGTTGGTGGAGAGGTAACTGAGATGAATTGGAAATAGGATGTAGATTTCATGTCATATATGGATGTGGAGAGATTGATTAAAGTGAGAGTTATGTAGACATAAAATATTTGTGGTATTGGAACCCGGTCTTCAGCTTTGCACGTGGTCTTAGGCCATTGAATAATGATAAAGATGTGTTAGAGTTTGCCAAAGATGTCGTAGGGCACGAGGTTATGAATGTATATGTGGAGCACATTATCTGCCCCCCCCCCCCCCCCCCCCCCCCGAGATTATGGATCCAAGTGAACTAGAAAACTACATTGATGAGGATGAGGTATGGTTTTAGTCAGCTTAATGCTAGTGAGGTTAATGCTGATGTCAATGAGGATGATGTAAGTAAGGATAATCTTAGTGAGCCTAATGTAGAAGTCAATGAGGCTAATGAAAATAAGTCTAATGTTGAACTTAATGAGGCTAATATTGAAGTCAATAAGGCTAATGTCAAAGAGCCTAATGTTGAAGTCAGCGAGGCTGATGAACAAGGTGAAATGAATGATGATGATTATGTTGCAAGTGACTTTAGTGAGTATAGCGATGAAGAAATTAATGGAGACAGTGAAGACTCAGATGAGATGAATTGGACTAAAGTGCTACCTCCATAAACCTTAGGTAAGACAAGTAGAAGCAAAGGGCCAACTGGTATGCAACATGAGGACTGTGAGGATTCTGATCACTTATACACACCCCATGGTAGTAATGATGATGAACATGTAGTCAAGTTTTCAACTTACAAGAGTGGTGAGGGAAGTGAGTTTCAATTGGGAATGATGTTTATAAATTAAGAGATGATAAGAGATGTTATCAAAGAGTATGGAATGGAAAATTAGAAAAATGTGTTCATCAAGAAGAATGATCTCTCTATTTTTGATGTGACCAATGGGATTGAAATCTATTATGTCAATCTTAAAAATGAAACATGTCCATGTAGAAAGTTGGATTTGTTTGGGATACCCTGCTGTCATGTAATCACATGCATTTGAAACATAAAAAAATGACCTAAAAGTTACGTGGCTGACTATTACAGGTATAACTCACATGCATTTTTTAATTCTTTAGTTTGTTTGATCTGTATGTTTGTGATTTATGAATTCTTTGGCTGATTATGTTTTAGGAAGTCAACTTTTGAGTATACATACTCAAATATTGTGTTTTCAACAAATGGACCATAATTGTGGCCTACAGTTGATCAAGTACCAATTTTTCCACATGTTATGAGAATGACAATTGATCGTCCTAAGAAATTGAGGAACAAGGCAAATGATGAATCAAAGAACCCTCATGTACTTTCAAGGAGACTTGCAGTTGTAACTTGTACAAAGTGTGAAGAAATGGAACATAACAAAAGAAGTTGCAAGGATAAAAGAGCTGCTAACAAAGCAATACTAAAAGGAGGAAACAAAGAAAAGAAGGCAAAGACCATTAAGGCTGGAAACAAATCAAAGAAGGCAACTGAAAAACAAGGTGAGATTAGACAGGGTTCTCAAGCACCACTAACTACTCAAGATTAAATGTTATGTTGTTTTGTGTCAACCTAGTAGTGTATGAACGAATTGGTCCTTTTTGATGTAATATGGTCTTTTTATGAACCAATATGATGAACCATTATCTTTTTGTAGAAATTTGGTCTGTTATGATCCAAAATGGCATATTTATAAATCATTTGTACTATGATCTATTATGATCTTTTGATATAATATTCAACTGTTATAATTATTAACTTGTTATGGTTATTCAACTGTTATGAACAAAGTTATGACATGTTATGCAACTAAATCATTCATACACAAATAAGGAACAATAACGTATGATCTTTTATGATATGTTATACCACTCTTATGTAACTATTATGTTCTGAACCATTGTTACAAAAAAAAGGAACAACAATGAACCATTGATACAAAAACTTGTAATTTCATTTCATAACCAATAAGTTACATATTTTTACAAAAGGAACACAACTTAAACACAACTGAACCAACATATCGGACTTATCAACTTAAACATGTCATAACACATAGCCTAAACATGTTGGATATATCCTATTTCATTACAGCTGAAACAACAAATACAATTAACAAGGCAATGATAATCATTCAGTTGAGCTTCAATTGCTTTTAATTAATTTCATCTTCATCTTTTTTGATGGCGTCTTTCACATTTTGTTTTTTTTCATTCAATTTCTGAACTAATGTATAAATCACTTCATTTTCCCTTGGGTTCATTTCTTCATCCAACCAAACAAAGTGGCTACACTTCTTGTATCCTTGCATCTGGAAAAATCAATTGAATAAAGTAAAGACACAACAATCCATAAAAAAAATGAGTAGAACTTCAAATACGTCCTAAAGGAAATCTCACCTTATACATTCCATAACCATAGAAATGACGTTATAGGTTGGCATCAGTCCATGTTGTCATCAATGGAGCATCCATACCACAATGGCATTCGTACCTCAATGAACGATTTATGTATCTACTCTTTAAAATTGATTTCTCTGACATTTTATGGAAACAAAAAAATGGAGGATGAAAGAGTGAGAAATATGAAGAAGACGATTAGGGCAACATGAAAAACGAAACAAATCAGGGCAAAATGAAGAAGAAAACGCTGTTGGGTTTCCATTAATAAATACAATACTAAAAAAATTATTTAAAACCATTGTTTAATTTTTTTAAAAAATTTAATGCTAAAATTAATTATTGTAGATTAATATTAAAAAATCTCAAGTGAGGTGAATTTTAAGGACCAAAAAGTTGATTATTAAAATATGAGGACTAAATTTTAAAAAACTTAAAAACAGAGGGAGCAAAAGTGCATTTAAACCTTTTTTTATAATTTATATATACGTATTTTGATAAATTTTTCAAAAATAATTTAATATCGTTATATAAAAAATGAAATGTTATCAAACCCTAACATCTCCTTTTTCTCTTTACTGTCTTCTTTTTCATATCTTCAGCTCCTTCGCCTTCTTTCCCAGCCCAATCCCTTCTTTCATTTTTGT